ATTTGTTTCACCTTGCCTACCTAAGGCACCTGATTGGTCTAGTAAAAAGCTGAATGGCCAATAGGTAGGCAGGAGAAAGGCCAATAGCTAGGCTAGCAGGCAAAGAGAATAAACAGAAGGCGAAATCTAGGCTCAAGAGGGGAGAGAAGACGAATAAAAGAACAGAAGGAGAGAATGAGGGACACACCCAGGGCAAGAAGCCAGACAGACATAAGAAGCAGTAGAAGATACACAGGGAAAGGGAATAAGCCCCAAGCAAAAGGTAAGAGAAGCAGGTCAATTTAAGTTACAAGTCGGACATGTGCCCAAGCAACGCCAAGCATTCAAAACTAATTGTGTCATGATATAGGAGCTGGTTGATGACCTAAAGGAAAAAGCCTGGTACAAATGACCATCCATAGGGTATCATCTTCAAATACTAGACACACACAGAAAAACTGTTTCATGCCCTTTTAGGGTCAAAAAAGGAAGAAGTGAGATGCTTTTCCTATAATACACAAGCAGTTATAGAGTGAGGGCTGGAGCTAGCCAACAACTCGGGCCCTGTCATCACCCAAGCAGAAAATTTTAGTAACAATAATGGAATCTATTTATTAGGAAGAATAAATGGTGGAATATATGGAAAAGAAAAGAAACCCAATGAAACAGTAAATGCCACCTGCTAATAATACTGTTTTTATTACCATTAGCTATTATTCAGATGCAGTGGGTGGATTTCAAATATAAATGTGACATTATCAAACTAAATTCTTTGAACAGGCCATTCTTCAGCAGGTGCAAGAAATGAAAAACATTGAAAAGCATAATCCAAGAAGCACAGGAGATAAAGATAAGCCCACATAATCACTGATTTCTAGACAACTTAAGTGTGTGGCAAGACCTTCACATCCAGGTGTGATTCGTTCTGTTTTTTAATCCTCTCCCCGGCCCATGTGTATGTATGTATGTATATGTATGTCACAGCATGCATGTGGAGGCCAGAGGTCAGCCTGGGTATAGATAGCACCATGCCTCCTATCTTGTCTGAGACAGTATCTTTTACTGTGTACCCCAGGCACAGTGTTCATAAACCCCGAGGGATTCCATCTCCACCTCCTGGTCTGCTGTGAAAACACTGTGATCACAGACACCATTTTACCTGGATGAGACACAGGTCATCAGATTTGTGCCAAAATGCTTCACCCCTGACCCTTCCTGCAGCACGCGCACACACACACACACACACACACACACACACACACACACACACACACACACTTCCTTGTTCCTGAATATTCTATCCTCAATATAGCAAAACACAAGGCATATCTACTGAGGCTTTTTAACTAAGCCAAATCTTAACTCTGCTCTTAGAAGCATCTCTTGAACTATGTAATGAGATATCCTAATTTTTATATGAAAAACCAAAAATATTAGGTAAGAAAAGTCTTTTTTAAGGGCTCTGTGCTTTCTCTGTATGACTTGAAGTCAGGTTGTTCATGTGGCACCATCCATGCAGTCCCGGGGCCCTGAACCCAGGCCTCTGAAGTATGAGTCTAGGGCAGTTTCTCAGAGGTTCCGGCTTCAGTGCATACGAGAACAAAATAGCCTGAGAGCTCATGTTCCAGAGACTTCCCACTTCCTGTCTGTCCTCTATGTCATTTAGATTGCCAAGGGCTTTCATTACACTCTTTTGTGTTTGTTCTTTCTTTCCATTTCTAACAGGGCTTGCCCACACTCTGTCCTTTCTGACAGGGCTCCCTATGTAGTCAAGGCTGACCCACACCATCTCCTTTGTGATAGAGCTCCCTATGTAAACCAGGATGACACATATTCTTCCTGTCAGACATGGCTCCCTATGTAGTCCAGGCTGACCCACACCCTCTCCTTTCTGACAGGGTTCCCTATGTAGTCTAGGCTGACCCACATGCTCTCCTTTCACTGTGGCCTGCAGACATTGAGATTACAGGTGTGCCAGCCACTCCCCAAGGGGGGGAAAAAACAAGAGAAAACAATGTGTTTGGACACATGTGTGATGCTTGATCGAATCAAGTCAGAGTTGTTTAGGTGTGGTAGACTTCCTCCTAAGTTCCTCCCTTTTCCTTACTTACACAGATCTATTTCCTCAAAGATTAGCCCCTCAGGAGGCGCCTAGGCCGCCAGACATCTCACTACTATAGTAATATATGCAAGTATCTTTCGCAGAGATCTTGGTAGAACAGTTCACAGGGAAAATGACCGGCATACTCATTGGCAAGGCCATGGGACACCTACATCCCTTCTGCTCCTTTCCCTGAGTAAGGCGAGCCACGCCTCTCGCTGCACCAGGCCACCTCTGTGAGCAGTCATCACATTTGATACTTCTATTGGGAACCAGCAGCAGAGCCATTTTACTGGCGAGAAAATGAGACAAGCTTGGGAAATCTGCACAGACAGTTCACAGCAGCAATGCAGAGTTGAACTGGAGCAGCACGCTTGGGACCAGGCAGGTTTCACTCTCACACCACTGGGGATTCTACGTGGTTGTTGTTGTTGTTGTTTTTTTTTTTTTTTTGGTTTTTCAACACAGGGTTTCTCTGTGGCTTTGGAGGCTGTCCTGGAACTCACTCTTGTAGACCAGGCTGGGCTCGAACTCACAGAGATCCACCTGCCTCTGCCACCGGAGTGCTAGGATTAAAGGCGTGTGTGGCCACCACCACCCAGCTACACTGTTGTTTCTAATTGCCCTTCTGATGAAGACCAATGTATACTTTGCTCTCCAAATAAGGACCCACTAAGACTACCAAGGATTTAAAACTCAGTTCTGTGAGGTGGACATGAAAATGTCAGGTATTGTTCAAAATAAGCCAGAAGTCTACAGGAAAGGGGAAATTACACAAAGTTTCACATCAAGAGATAAAGTTGTGAGGAAAATCTTCAACATCCCTAGTCCTAAACGATTTACCTACTTAGTGACTTATTAGTTCATCTACAGTGATGATGAGCAGCCTCAGACACGCCAGGCCAGTGCTCTACCATCAAGTGAGGCACAGCTAGTCCTCCTGGGTCCAAAATTTTAACCACCATTTCTTAAAATTAAGGCAAAATAGATTATAGTTTAAAATACTAAAAGCATTAATAATGCTATTTTATTTACAATCTTTTTCTGACTATAAGAACTTTTTACACTGGGCATTTTCAGCTTCAGTCAGTATTTGTATTCACAAATTCACCTGTATTTTCTTGAGTTCCTTCCATGAACATTTTAGTTCCCTCGTTTGGTACTGGGGGTTAAATCTGAACATACACTGTACCACTGACTTTCTGAGCATGCTGTACCCTGGAGGAGGCCCTGGCAGGTCACTGACTTTCTGAGTATGCTGTGCACTGGAGAGGGCACGGGCAGGTGATCATAGCCTGTTTTTCAGTGGGAAGAAGTCAGGTGCTTTTAGAACACAGGTTTGAAAAAAGATCGATGGGAGGTTTTAAATGCCCCTCTCCTAAGCCTGTCTGGGGTTGAATGGGGATGTAGGCTGTTCAAGAGCCTGCTAGGGGAGTCTAGAATAAAAGACACGGCTTGGGAGGAGCACTTAAGCATGCTTCCATCAAAGAGGATGGGCTGAAGACAGCAAGTTACCAGAGACAGGAAAAGCACGTGTGTGCAGAGGACAAGGAAAAATATGTGTGTGCAGAGTACAGGGAAACAGCACCATGTGTGCAGAGGACAGGGAAATGTGCATGTGTGCAGAGGACAAGGAAAAACATGTGTGTGCAGAGGACAAGGAAAAACATGTGTGTGCAGAGGACAGGGAAACAGCACCATGTGTGCAGAGGACAGGGAAATGTGCATGTGTGCAGAGGAACAGGGAAGTATGCATGTGTGCAGAGGACAGGGAAATGTGAATGGGTACAGAAGACTAGGAAAAATGCGTGTGTACAGAGGATAGGGAAATGCGCATGTGTGTGTAGAGGACAGGGAAACTCTTGTGTCAAGGACAGGAACTTTTCTAAGAACTGGTAGGGAACCCCTGTGCTTAGGCCCCTAGGTTGCCATTGTGCAACCTGGCTGTGTTTCTGCCCTTGGATCTGTGTCTTCTGGAAAGTCCCCCAAAGCCTGATACCTTTCTCTTTTTGGTTAAGCTAATTTCAGTTGAGAGGTTTCAACCAGCAGAGAGCATGGCCCAAAAGGCACCATCTCTACAGTGAAGAACAATACTGAAGGACAGACAGTCCATGAAAGCATATGCAACCCAAAATCCCACAGTGAAAATGAAACACTGCAAGGAATGGCAGGCACAGAGTCCTGGGATTCACCAGCCCCTTACGGGGGCCTTTTCCACTTCAGCTGGTCACTGACGGTGGAGGCTACACAACTGATTAAAAAGGCCTGCAGCACTTCGAACACCACAGAGGGTCCCAGCTCACTGCTGCGGACTTCACGGCGTCACAAACAGCATGCATCTCTAAAAACAGTGCTTTCAAGTTTGAATTCTGATCTTTTCTGGGACCAGATGGTATAATGTTCTCTGATGCTGGACAGGGGCAGAGAGTCGAGGTGTGTGTGTGCGTGTGCGTGCGTGCGTGCGTGCGTGCGTGCGTGCGTGTGTGTGTGTGTGTGTGTGTGTGTGTGTGTGTGTGTGTTGCTCTGCAGTGTGCTGTGTTGCTAGGCCATGAAGCTCCGTGTGCATGGTAAGTGCACTAACAACCCAGCACAATTTCATTTTATGATGTGTTACTTCATCAAAACCCAATGATATTTTCCAGGAAAGAGATAAAGGAAATGTTTCTAACACATAATTTTGTCATTTGCAGGTACCAACAATAAAAACACTGATGATTTAAAGTCAGAATTATAGCTGAAGATAGTGAATTCCAGCATACCCAGTTTGGGTAAGAATGAAGAGAAAACGGCTTTCCCTAGTTTACAAGTTATCAGGGATGACGCAGGATCAAAACCTTGGTCGTCAGGATCCCAGCTCAGGAGACTCAGGGATTCCGCCCCTGACTCCTTCATCAATAGCCTGATGATGTCCCGGACTGACCTGATCCTGTGTGCTGGGCTGGCATGGACCTGCAGAGACGGGAATGACAGGCACTTTCTTCCTGAAGCAGATGTGGAGAGTATCACACCTGTGAGAAAGGAAGGAAGAGGTTCAGTTCATGTTCAGGAGACCGGCCAGCCCAGCATCTTCTGCTGCTTGTACCCGTCACCTGCCACCTTCCTTTCACCTGAGAGCACATCACTCAAGGCACATAAACTCTGCTTTTGAAACAGCCCATGAGAGAGGCCACCAAGATGGCTCAATGGGTAAAGGTGCTTACAACCAAGCCTAACAACAGCAACCTGAATTAGAACCCACATGGTGGATGGAGAGATCTGACTCCTACAAGCTGCTCCTCAACCTCCACAAGGTTGGCATGGTGCCTGTGTGTACACAGACACATAACACTCACACACAACATGTAAATAAAATGTAAAACAAAGCTTTTAAAAAAGAAATAGAGCAGATATTCTTCTTAAAATCCATGAAAACAAGGTCACTTAAAGTTCGCTACCGATCACCTAGTATGGCTTCTTTTCCTAATGAAGAAACCGAGACCTAAAGAAGTCACATGAAGACAAAGTGACAACACCACAGTGAGCAGCAGGACGGGCATAAAGCCAGATGTAACCCTGTGGGGCTGTATTCACTTGCATAACACAGAACACAAAAAACTTCAGAAAGACAAAAAACTCACAAAAACACCGGACGGTGGCGGCACAGGCCTTTAATTCCATGACTCGAGGGCAGAGGCAGGCGGATCTCTGTGAGTTTGAAACCAGCCTGGTCTACAAGAGCGAAGCCACAGAGAAACCCTGTTTCGAAAAACCAAAACCAAACAAACAAATAAAAAACCCACAAAAACAACCCAGTTTTTGCCTGGGTGTTTGTCCAGCATCAGAAGGTACATGATGGAATAAGGAGCTAAATGGATTTGTGCAAATGTAAAATCAGAAAACCCCGTGCCCCTCCCAGGTCACACACCGACCTCAGGTTATCTGCCACGCCACACACAGGTTACTTACATGGTTCTCTCATTTGTGATCCCTTACTTCAGTATGAGAGCCCTAGCATATGGACATGCAGTCCAGACTCTGCACTTCATCCACTCTGCTCTAAAAACTTCCCACAGTCTTAGCCAACTACTTCCTTGGTCTCAAGAAATTTGAAAGTGACTGCCCCGCACTACTACTGACGGCCTCCTAACTGCACACTCTGTCTTGGCAGCACTCCCTGACTATGGAGGCTTCACATTGCAGCATCTGCTCTCCTGCTCACAACTAGTTTGGGTCATAAAACTTTGTTAATCTCTCTGCCACAGTATAAAAATTCAAACCAAACCAGCTAATCATTCAAAGACCTATTCAAAGACAATCGACTGTGAAGAGTCTTGGCTGCTTCTTTTTATTGTTGCTGATTGTTTTTATTTGTGTTGATTATTTATTTGTTTGTTTGTTTATGTGTTTGTTGAGACTAGGCCTTTGGAGCCCAGGCTAGCCTTGAACTTCCAAGTGCTGGGATTACAGACACATACCACTATGCCAACCAAACTAGGTTGGTTGGTGCTTAATCAATTAGAAGGTCAAATTAGAAAGAAAAATACTTTTCAAATGTTGGAAGCTATTCTTTAATGAGCCCACAAGACAGTTCAATGGGTACAGGCACCTTGCACCTAAACTTGATAATCTGAATTTGATCCCTGGGACCAAAGGAGAGACCCTATTCCTGCAAGTTGTGCTCTGACTTCCATAAGCATGCCGTGGCACACAGGTACCCCTGCCCAATAGGCAGACACAAATAAATAATAAATAAATGTTACTTTTCAAAATCCTGCAATGCATCTTCAACAACTCCTAGTTTTGTGATGTATCAGATGGTAGACACACACACAAGCTTACTGAGGCAGAAGTCTTTAAAACCAGCAACTTAGCAGCACTATTAGGAATTCAAATAGCAAGGAGGGGAAGAAACAGGAAGTGAAGACATGTGTCCTAAATCTGACTTCCCAGTATGGCTTAACCAAGTCTTATGTAGCATAGGCTGGCCTTGAACTCCCTATGTAGCTGATTCTCCTGCATCCACCTTCCAAGTGCTAAGATTATAGAAGTGAGCCACCACAGCTCATTATAGATTGCTGGGGATCCTATAAACAAATGCATACTAATGATATCAAACAGCTCTTGTTTTATAGGGCTTAATATTCTCATTCAATATTAGATTTCCAACATTCAAAAATGCTAGGCAAATGTTCTACCAACAGAACTATAGCCCGGTTTTAATTATATTTTAAATTGATTATTTGCTACCCACAACAATTACTTGCAAATGTTCAGTTAAATTCAAAGCAAAATAACAACACGAATATCACCAGGATCATACCTCTGATTCTTATCAAATGTAAACTGAATATATGCATTCTCCTTAATTCGTAGGCATGTATTTTGGGAAATTTTAACATGTGGAACAGGAGACAAGTACCAAAACTTTTCTAATACATACATGTATAATAGCAAAATAAACCAAAATAAAAATCTGTCATTTTAAACGAAAGAGTTAGTAGCCACTTTGGGGTCATTTTACATAACACAGTACCATTCTGAAATGGAAAGCAAATGAACCATACCATCACAACAGCACTTCGGGAGGTGGAGGCCAGAACAAGAATTCAAGGCCATCCTCAGCTATACAGGAAGTTGGAGGCCTAGCCTGGGCTACATGAGACCCTCTAATACAAACAAGCAAAAATAGAACATCTAGGAACTTGTCCCCCAACGGAAGAACTAAATGTAATTTACTCCGATTACTCCACACTTTCAACTCCTGCCATCTATTAACTGCACACGTCTATGTATGTGTCTTTCAGCAAGATGGTATTCTAGTTTCTTTGTAAAGCCATAAAAATGACATCAAACAGCTCATCTTATAGGACTTAATGTTTCTACTCAATATTACATTTCCAAGACTTGATCCATTCAATTTTCATGATGGTGCCAAATTTATTCTCTACCGTGTTCTTAGCAATTACACTCTCATGGGCAATATGGTTCATATTTGGTTACATCCTCTCTCTCCCTTAGTTTTAGGATATAAAATGGTACTCCACTGCAATCTTACTTTGCATCTTCTTGCTCATTAATGATGTTGCATTTTCTACCACACTCATTGGCTAATTCATGGCTTCTCTTTGGTGAAAGGCCGGTCCCTATCTTTTGCTCTCTTTCTTCCCGAGTTGTTTTCCCTTCTCTTTCACATGTTGATTATCTGGTTTTGCCAGTTCTGAGTAGCCAGGCCCAAGCAGGCATCAGATAAAGTAGAAGCAGGAAGCCAGACAACGGGAAAGAGCCAGCCATGTGCTAATGTTTTCCTGCCTCCACCCTTGTGAGCAGCATGCAATCCACAGACACTGAAGCAGACACGGAACACCACACAGTGGATGAAGCTTTCTAAGCGCTGATTTCAACGTACGTTCAGGCAAAAAAAAAAAAAAAAAAAAAAAAAGAAAAGAAAAATGCTTAGGCAGTGATGTCAATGCATTCCACTTGTAGCCTACAACACAATTTCAAGGTGTCAAGTTTTAAATAGGCCAAACTTTAGACAGTGTTTCCACTGTGGCCCTTATAGTTTACATATTTTTATATCATGCTTTGCTTACCTCTGATTTAGAATAAATCTGGTGCAGTGTCAAAGGGTTGAGTATTTTTAAACACACAAATGTTCATACGTAAAAATCTGAGTTTCAAAACTAAATTATATAAATTAGAAGCTGTTGCCTGAACCCCAGATTTAGCTAAATGCTAGCAATGCCTTGATCTCAGCAAAGTCTAAGGGGCTTAGGATCGATTAACTCTTTGTAGTTTGTAGATCAATGAAAAAACAATACACTGTTTCTCAGTCTTTAGTGATTTTCAGGGGTCTCTGAGTTTAAACAAAGTGGACCATTAGATAATAACGAAATGCTCATTTTCTGAAAGTTTTAATAAGCAATTTCATAGCCTCCTTCTGGGATACCTGCCAGAGACATAATGAAAGGCACCAAGGAAACAAACGAGAGAGCACATGAAACCTGTGGCTCTCTGCACGACGACCTGATCCCATGAGCCATCAGAAGGCGACTGCAGGAGCTGATGGAACCCCTCCTCCCACTGTGTCCTTTCAAGTCACATACGGGGTCTAATCCTCTGTCCCTACTGCTAAGCAAGGGCACTGTTGGTCAACTCCACTTCTGTCTCCTCCCAATAAAATAACTACTGGCAGGAAGAGTTCCAATTACCAGAGCTGAACAACCCTTTCCCCTAACTGACCTGTAGGTAATGGTGAAACATCACTTCTGCCTGCTAGGACCTTTCCATTCAAACTGAGCACACTCCTATTAGACTACTCCCCTGCACTACCACTGAAACTGAAAGGCAGCAATCTACAGACCTTCCCTGAGCTATGGGCAGCACCTACAGTCCTTTCCTGAGCTATGGGCAGCACCTACAGTCCTTCCTGAGCTATGGGCAGCACCTACAGTCCTTCCCTGAGCTATGGGCAGCACCTACAGTCCTTCCCTGAGCTATGGGCAGCACCTACAGTCCTTCCCTGAGCAGCCCTGCATGACTCCTGCAGGCTGACAGGCTCCCTTCCCTGGTGCTCACTCTCTTGGTTAGACCCCATTTGTAGACAACTCCCTTCCCATCTCCTCGACTGATTCCTCCTTCCCCACCTCTAAAATTCTAGTTTCCAAAGTACATTCAGAATCTCTGCACACATACAGTACCTATGCTTTACAGACCTGTCTCAAGGCCTTCACAACTGCTGCTCTGTCTATGAGCGTCCTCAAGAGGCATTATTTCTGTGCAACCCTTGCCATCTTCAGGAGAGCAGACTTCCCAAGTCTGACCTTGGATTCCCTTACTCACTTCTCTGACTTTCCTCCAACATCATCACCAGCTAACTTTTACTCTTGTTTTTCCTAATCCTCCCTCTCCCCACACACATAAAAGGTAAAACCCACTACAACAGAGATTTGCTTTTGTTTGGAATTACATCTTCAACACGTAGGAAAGGAGAGAGGATCGCAATTACGGGGCAGATAATAAGCAAATG